TATAAGTTTGGATCTCGGATCTTCTGCATATTTCAAAGAAATTCAGGAAAGCGCATCAATAGCGACAAAGGGAAGAGAACTCACATACGTCACCAATCTCTTTTTGGTAATCAGTATTGACCTTTCAAACAACATCCTGTCTGGTGATATCCCAAGGGAGATGACAAGTCTGGTACAACTCAGAACACTGAACCTGTCGAGAAATAATTTAACAGGATCCATCCCAGACAACATTGGAAACATGAAGGAACTTGAATCTCTTGATTTTTCAATGAACTCACTGTCCGGCAACATTCCAGGTAGCATGTCAATCATGACTTCTCTCAACTACTTGAATCTGTCGTATAACCACTTGACAGGGACAATCCCACAAAGCACCCAGATTGGGAGCTTCAACGAGTCGAGCTTCATCGGCAACAATCTTTGTGGCCTTCCACTAAGGATTTCTTGCAAAAATGATGTTAATGTCCCTTCTCAGACACAGCTGCAGATTCAAGGCCGAAAAAGCAATAAGCGAGAGATTGATTGGTTTTACGTATTCCTATCATTTGGGTACGCTGTCGGGCTTTCTGCTATCCTCTCTGCATTGTTTTTTAAGAAGGAATGGAGGGAAGCTTATTATGGATTCTTTCAGAAACTGTGGGAATGTGTTTAAGTGTATTTCATTATCGAATGGAGGAGGCTCATGAGAGCGTGGGATCGAAATCCATAATGGCTCTGTCAACAAATTATGCATGGACCTCGCTGACAGAGGGACTTTAAAGCTTTAATATCTGTGTGGTATTTTGATTTTAGGCTATAATGTGTGTGTGTTTATAAATAAGGTGTTGGGATGTACTATTATGTTTTTTATTTTATCATTGTATGCTGTAAGACTTTTATATCTAATGAGTATTAGTCTATCATTTACTATCAGTAATTATTATATGTAGCTCTTACTTGCATGATGATACCGATAATAGCAATATAAGTTTATGCAAACTTATATTGATCAGCAATTTTAGCTACAAGGATAATATCTGTGTGCAACAATTTGAAGGATGAAAACATTTTTTTTTTTATTAACAAACTTTGTTCTCCAATCCTCGAACTTGTGCAATTAATATTCAGGTGTCAATGGTTTCATAGCCTTTGTTCCTCTCTCTTCGCACACTAGACTATAATCTATATTTTTACATGGGATACCATATCAAGTCGACTCGACTCAAAAAAACAGTCCGGCTGAACCAGGTGAACCGACAGGTCGGTTCACCCGATATCAAATACCACAAAGGTCACTGAAGCATCAAGTTGATGGTGAGAGAATTTATGCAAACCTATGCAGATAGATTGTAATTAGTCATATTTATTTAATTTTGCATCAATTTGTTATACAAATTGTGCATCAAATCTTGAAATATATAAATACATCAACTTAAGAATTATAGTGTTTTGCTGGAGTAGGCTATTATAACAGAATTTTTTTATCGTGTTCATATTAAAAAAAAAATAAAAAATGCACAACGATCAAAATAACACTGTCCACACAGTAGGATCATGGTAGTACAACAGTAGTACTCTGATGATTACTTTGTGGCACCAAAGTCCATAATATGCAGACGCCCAAGAGCTCTAGGAAAATGAGAACGTTCGAGAAGTTGGAGATTTCGTCGCTGGACGAGCTCATGGAGATTGATAATCGAAGGCGAGGTCGACTGTTCATGGTATCTTGACAATATATTATTGACTCCCTTCTTTCCCATGGACACAAGATAAGTAGGAATATAGTGTTTAAGGGCTTCATCAGCAGCATTCTAGAAAAGCAGAACCAAACAGTCACAAAAAACAAGATGGATGTAAGAAGAATGTGTCAAATAGAATTTAGTGTTGTAGAGTGTGAAGATAAATACCTGTATTTTAGAATCAGGATGTTTCAAATTCTCATTTAGAGTATCGAGTCGACTTTTTCTGGTCTTCAGAGACACTTGAGCTTGAGAAATGCACTCGATAAAACGAGAAACAGCAGACCGCATTAAAGTTGCATAATTCTTAAGCAAGTTGTGTTTAATTTCACAACATGAAGATCAGTTTGATTGGCTGAAAAACAAAAAATGCCTATCCAAAAGCTATACTGATGGCGACGAGATCGCATTGGCGTACTTGGACAAGTTTGATCCTCTTCGTATTTAGCTATTTAGTTATTTAGTAATTTATCTTCTTATTTATTCCCTTTTATTTATTTCCTATGTTAGGATATTTATTGCCTTAAATAAATTAGGGTGGAGAGCCTATTTAAGAGGGCAGAACATTCATTGTTATTCAATTTACGATTGAAATAAAATATCTCTCTTGAGTTCTTCTGAGAATTCATATTGTTCCCACCGTACGTTTTCTACTGCGTCATATAGCTACTAGAAAAGTAGGCTAAGAAAAGTAGATGAAAATAACCTAGGACTAATTCTACATGGAACAATTAAACCCAAGTGAACTGGAAATTCTTGCCAGCAGATTTGTCAGATGAAAAGGCTGAATTATACGTACATAATTCAACGGATTGCGGCAAAAGATTCCCAAAGGCAGCTCTTTCCAATATCGTCAAGCAAAGGTCTGAGCCAACCTTCATACTCTGAACTCTTCTGGAGCTCGACCCCAAAAGACATGGGCAATTGCTAAACAAACAGCAACAAACCATTTAAAAAAAAAAAAGGGCGTCAGTTTTTAAATAAGAGGAATATTACTAGGCAAAAATTATCTACCTTTGCAAGCCACAATACGTAGGTAGCAGCATGGGTCGCTTGTGCTGCATAATCCCCGAAATCATCTTCTTCATTGGGGAAATTTAAGCAGGAATTGAGTAGTATCAGCTCGTCTTTCACAAACACACTAATGTTGCAACTTGCGCAGGGACTGTTGGAGAACATATTACTGTGATCGTAATCAGGTGCTAAGTGTTGTTTCACCCATACTAGAGAGAGAAAACGACGATGGAGCCATAAAGCCTTGAAACAAATACCAGGGAGAAAAAGGGAAAAGAAAAAGAATTCTAAGAATATTATGTATAAAACAGTGGCATAATTCTTGTTTCAAAAAAAGATCCAACAATTTTTTAAACTTATGAAATACACTCTTGAGGTTGTTGTATACAAACTATCTCTCTCAACAGCCCCTAATATACTAAATGCATGCAATTACAAAATGGAAACTTTATTTATGTGCACGTGCATGTATAATGAGGCTACTGATGAGGGTAGTTTTTGAATTTATCCATAAAGCATAAGAATCACAAGGTATTATATTGTATACATCTGAATTACCTCTCTTCCCAGATAGCGCCTTATCAACATGCCAATCCAGTCGAGTTCGTCCTGTCGTGCATTCGTTTCTCAATAATTAGAGAAATCAGGTCAAACAATTCGTAACATAAAAAGATGCACAACTTGAAGTATACAGATTAAATAAAAGGTATAAGCTACTCTTAAGTCTTAAAAAGGTTAATTTACCAATACTAACATCTCCTAGTTTCTTAATCCAAAAAAGGTACCACGAGAACTTAAGATTAAATGATGGCTAAAGTGCTCCTTATACAAGATAAAACTTTTAAAACTTGTAAACGATCAAAAACTTAATACCAAGTTAAACTATCAAAAGCTCTTTCAAATTCACGAGACAGGTAGAAGTGCATGAAGTAAAATGGAAAACGTATGCTCTTAGGTAGATAAAGAACGTAGATAACTTCTCTAATATGCAGCCAAGACCATCTAGACAGTGCATCTTATTCATGACCAGAACGAGTGTACTAAATTACATGACATACATGTAAACAAACTTTAGAAGCTAATGGTTATTGTTCGAAATAAATTTAACAATTATAAGGCCAAACCTTCAATGTTTTATGTAATTCTGCACCTGACAAGCCATCAGAATCCTTGTTCTGCTGTAAACTCTCTATCATATGGAGTAGTAAGCGCTGACATTCCCACAAAATGCCATTAGTACTGTTTGTACAGACCATTTCAATATGTTTCACCAGGAATACTGAAAATACTAGCATGGATGAATATCAATTTTCAATATTATTTTCTATTCACAGTTCAAGAGAATGAGATTTCAGAACATCAAGAGAAAGTCACACCTTTAAAAGTACATCTTGAACATAATTTAGAGATTGCGTATTTCACATTGTTTCCTGTAGTAAACCTATTTCAAAATTTCATAGCGATTGAACTACATGTGTCCAAAACAAGAATTAAATGATTTCACCATATGAAAGGGCCACATATCCCCTGCCCCCACTCCCTCTCCACAAACACAGTGAGATAGCTAAAATATATTTGAAACCAACACCTAACAGTCATGGCAATTATTTATTTTGCCTATTTTCATTAATGTAATTCCATTATGGAAAGCAAACAGTAAATGGAAAGTTCGAAACTTACAGCTCGGTAAGAGAAGCAAGAGTTATCAGCAACGTGAAGACCAGCCCAAGCTCTTGAACTCGTCAACTCAAGTAAAACCTGACTTGAAGCACAAATTATCCTTCAGCAAACCAAATATGGAAGTGAGGAAACATATACACCTCTGTAACACACACAAACATGACAGACAAAATAGAAAAAGAGGTGGACGAAAAGAATTAAGAAAGAGAAAAATGAACTATTCTCCTTAAACAAAACATAAATGGAATGACAGTTGGACTAACAAAGAAACTAAACATTAGCACAGGTCCCTGGCCTAACATAACCTTACCTGTGAATTTGACATGTAGGAAACCAACCAGCAGCGGTGATTCCAAGCACGATAATTCATTTTAGAGTTCTGTAGAAAAATTGAAACAAGATTTACTGATCTTCAGTTCAAGCTGAACAATGCCGCTGTGAAATAAAGACGATTTAGACGTAAACAGAGAGGTCACAAATTGAAATGGTTTATACAACAGAGAACTTCTTGGACCCAAGTGAAGGGACACATTTAGGAGGTAAGTGGTCAAAAGTCAGCATGCTGAAAATAGTTGCCCTTTCTTATTCAGTCGACTAATGCCACGATGGGACAAATAAAGTTTCCGAAAATTTTGTCTAGCCCAAACAATCGAGATGGAGAAGTAGAAGGGTTATTGTAAGGAAAGAACTAGAATGTCTGTGAGATTGTGAATAACTTAGAAGATATAAGATAAAAATGTAATGATTAATGTTGATGTAAGATATAAAACAATATAATTTTCATTGGCATCGAATGTTACTTAGAAATATGTAAAGGTTACATAATATTTTTTGCTGGAAAATATGTAACAATGAGTGGTTCTTATTTTAAATTATGTTGATGGGATTAGAGAAAACGTAAAATAGCATAAATAGTTATTTTCTTAAATTTTGTTTACATCGCAATGAAATAAATCTTCTGTTAAATAAATCATCTCTGAACAAACGAAAATATAATTATGTCATATCCAATCGAGGCCTAATTGACTAACTTAGGTGACATAACAGAGTAATAAAACTCGGTAAAATCATCTGCATCAAACTGCACAGCACATATCAGAGTACGCTTAGATAAACATGAATCTTTTAGCCTATCACCTACGAATTTTTTTTCACTATATATTTGAAGGATGTTTGTTCATTAATAATCTTGATGAGAATAAAGGGATGTTATATAGAAACCTGCTGGCTGCAGATGCTTAAATATAAATTTCAATAAGGTAAAGTTACAAATGATATCCTATATATTTAGTTAAAAATAAGATTAAAAAATCTCAATAATTTTCAAATATGACAATACCGCCGTGACATATGATCGCACTTAGAAAATCATAACTACTGATGAGGGTGAGTTGTTACCAAAAAAGAAAAGATAAAAAGAATTAACTCAAAAGGGTATTTGTAATACTTCATGTTATTAAGAATAACTAAACTGGTTTCGTGATTAGGCTAAATCATCGAGGTAAATTTAGTAACCAACCCTCTAGATAACTATCCAAAAGCTAAATATAAAAGGCGCCATAATTCTTGACCAACCTCAGCAAGAGTTTCCACTAACTGCGATTCTCTGTCCAGAATCTCTTGTAGATTTGTGCACTTTCCAGTGATCATCTTGATCACCCATCTCCTATTGGTGTGGACATCAATTAGAAGTTGTTAGCAGATTATGTTACTGTACCATTATAATTTTAGCACATGCACATCAAGTAAATGCTACGAGATAATAGAGGAGGAAATAAGTGCAAAGTGAGTAACAGAAAGCATATACATGTAGTACTATGACATAAATTGGTAAACAATATCTTATCCGAATGCATCAAGAAAGAATAGAACCACAGTTATAGTGGCATAGGGAATCGAGTGTTAAAATACAAATAGACAAGTAAATACTACCTGTGGCTCCAAGCACGTTCGCTTTTTGGTGAATAGGATAGAACTAAAGCTGATAAGAGTAGTTCATCCATAAACATCGGAAGTAGTAGCTTCTTTGACACAATAACTTTCCTACAATAGATAACATACGTATAGCGTTACTTACCAGCGGACCTAATCAGAAGTAAATGAAAACAAATACAACATCAGAACTCTGCTCTTAAGAACTAAGTCTCCAAGGAAGAGTACGAATAAGAAATACGTGTAGAATGGGTTCAACTTTTAGTTTTTCCAGTTATTGCATCTACTAAACATATTTAAAAACTGAGAAGCACCCAAAATGATCAAACAACCATAATACATCACAAACAAATAGGCCATCATAGCCACTGTGTAATTTATTATCATAACTTTCAATTAATTATGTGGATACAAAAAAGTCCCATCACAAACACACAGGTGTCACAAAATGATAACTTCACAAAACTATACCATTACATTTACTGTTAATCAGGGTATTCTTTGAACTAAATTTTTTCTTTTCTTCTTCCTTTTTTTTTTTTTTCGCTTCCTTTATACCCTCGTAGGACTAGTTAGTAATTACTAATTAAAAGCTTCTTTTGGCGTCAATAGTTGAAATTAATTGGTAGCAAAAACTTGAATTATATTAGCTCAAGTGACTAAGCAACACTAAACGTTTTATGAATAAAAGATTTATAAGTTTGGAACAAACACAGTTAAGCATACGTAAGAAAGGAAAAGAGCTACCTGGAGTTCCAAGCAGTTCCAAAATCACTGCTCAATAGAAGAAGTGCCTTGCTATGTTTCATAACTTCCTTTTCCACAATGTCCAGGAACAATGCATTTCCATCTAGTTCATCAACTGTTTTTGCTCGAGACTCGCATGAGATTACATATTGGTCATAAGCATCCATAAATGCATCTTTAGCCACACGATAGAGAGGAACTAGAACAAAGATACTGATGCCAAGCTTGTGTCCGTGATGACAAAAAAAATTATCATAACTACCATCTTCTAGTTGAAGCTTAGTTCCAGAGGCCGAGGAAGATTTACTACAAACCTCTTCAGTGAATGCGGTGAACTGATTTGGATGAATAAACCCCACTTCATCACTGGGTGCAATATAAAAGTGAAGAAAGGGTTACCAGTAGCATCATATAGCATCATAGGGTATGAACAACAGTACATCAACATCAACATCAATATACCCAGTATATTCCCAACAAGTTGGGGTCTGGAGATCAGTTGTACGCAGACCTTACCCTTGTAATTATACAAGGAGGTTGTTTCCATAGCGACCCAAGGTGCGTTGCGTCGTTTAATATATTTTTTTCTAGAAACTTCACTAATAGAAGAAGCACTAGAATTTAATTGAGCCATTTTGATCTAGTCCATTATTAGTAGTCCATTATTAGTACTATGCCAGGAGAATTGTCCACAATGACTCTTCCAGCTCCATATGCAATGCAATGGACATAGGGTATGAACAACAGTATCTAAAATTAAATTAAAAATTTAAAGAATATTACAAGTCTACAACACACAAAGAAATAATGGATATTACACTGCACAAACCCATTAATACACTGATTTCAAAGGTGTTTGCTCTGCTTGTGGCAACAAAACAAAAATGAGATATCATTCATAGAACTTGCTTGAGTACTGATAAAGATTACAGGAAAGATAATGATCAGTAACTGTAACTAATAACTCACATTATAGGGTCAGATTCCAAAATATCCTCCAAACGGCTTAACAGGTGAGAGGGATCAGGATTGGTAGTAGCTTCACCCATTGTAGATGTGTGTTGTGGCAGCCCCAAAAAAACCCTAATTTCCAATTCGCATGTATCAGCATAGATTCTTCTTGAACTACAACTTGGGCGGAGTGTGAGAACCTCCCTAGGTAAGCTTATTCAGAAAACTATTCAGTGACAGTGAGGAAATACCAACACAGAGAGATTGGGGGAGGGTGTGATAGCAAATCTATCTAAATGTTGTTGTTTTTTTTTAATTCGGCCCAGTAATCGGCCCGTAATCGGGTCACCGGTTCAACCGTCATGTCACCGGGTCAGTTGTTGAACCGAAAAATTAACTTTAAAAATTTTTAAAATTATATATAAAGTATTTTTGTCATATAAAAATTCAAGTTGTCATATAATATCCGCCTTCGCTGGCGGATATCGTGCCCGACACGATTGGGGACTTGATCGTGAATTTGGTCCGTGGGAGGGCCTGTTTCGCGTTGACATCTCTGAATTCGATGAAGACCAAGTTGACGGGTCATTGTACGATGGTCCGCCTGTGTTTGATGAAGGACCCGAAGAGGTGGAGGATCGTCTTCCCGACAAAGTGGACGATCTCTACGACGATCCGCCGATTTTCGTTGAGGAACCTCCAGGGCTAGAGGATTACCATCATGTTTCGAGTTTCAAAATTCAGCTGTTGGAAGAAATAGTTCTTCTATTGCGCAGGCCCGAGCTTTTCTCCCATGAGAATTTGTTGCGACCTGGCAAACAAATGTTGTTGTTTGGTCCCCACGGTGACTTCAGTATTCTGTGTGTGACTGCCGCATATATGCCTTTATATGAATTTCAAGGGGGCAAGGTATTCGACCTTCTTGTTCGATCGGGGGAAACGGCAGGGGTTTACTATCATGGGTTCGACACCATACACCGGCCACGGATGCGCATCGGCTTCGAGGGCGAAGCCTTCCGAACCGGGGGAGAATGGTGTAGATTATTATTATTATTATTATTATTATTATTATTATTATTATTATTATTATTATTGTTATTATTAGGTATCTTAGAGAATAAGTTAGAAATCTAATATTATTATAAGAGATCTTGTCTTGTTGGACAAGTTAGGAATAGGGTTATGAGCCTTATTTAAAGGACTCCTCATCTATTGTTTTATTCAGTTGATTTTGAATATGAAATAAGATACTGAAAGTTTTGCGTGTTTTACGAGAGAGTATCTCGTTTACTCGTATCTTTCCCATTCGTTTATGCATTCCCTACATCAGTTGGTATCAGAGCCAGCCCATGTGCCAGCGGTGACCGCTGGGCCCACAAGGGGGGGTGGATGATGCAGCGCATCTCACATCGCGTTTGAAAGGAAACGAAGCAGGCCTTATATGAGGATGTGGATACCTTCACTAGTAAGACGTGTTTTGGTGGGTGTGTATTGAAGCCCAGCCAAGAACAAAGCCGTGCGGGTGGCGGAAGTAGCCCAAAGCGGACAATATCTTACTAGGGTCTGCATCATATGGAGTCAGTTATTCCACTAGCTTGTAAAAGCTTTCCATGTTGTCTTGTCATTAATTCAGTCCTAATACCCTCAAGCATATCTATGATGTGTCTGCTTCTGAACTTCACAATGTAGCCATTAAAAGTCTCACTTACATTGTTTTCAATCGTATCACATCTTGGCATGGTAGATATGAATGCTTTGCAGAATCTTCTAGGGTCTCTTGAGATAAAATCCTCATATGCATCAGGATCTTCAATTTTCAGATTCTCAAGTGCCAAATTATATGCTGCCATATTAGAACTCAATACTATTTTCCAAAAAATGGACTTAAGTGCTTGGCCCTTGAACTGCTTTTTTCAATTCATGTAGACATGCCTTGCACAATTTCTGTGCTCAGCATATGGAGTTAGCACTTCCACAACATTCATCAGTCCCTGCCAATGTAAGTTCACATCAGTAATTTATATTTTAAAGCTAAATATGGGGTAAACTATAGATAACATTGACGATTAATTGATATTTACCTTTTGTTGGTCACTCACAAGTGTATATCCCAAACCATCAGTAATTCCCAGATCTTTAAATAAGATACTAAGGAACCATGTCCAACATTCTTCATTCTCTGACTCAACTACAACCCAAGCAACTGGGTACATCTGGTTGTTCCCATCTTTGGCTGTTGCACATAACATAGCTCCCCCCAAGAATGTCTTAAGAAAGCAGCCATCAAGACCCAAGATAGGCCTACAACCATGAATGAACCCTTTCTTGAGTGCACTGAAGCCAATGTAAAGTCTCTTAAACTGTGTGTCCTCACCAACAAGCAACTCAAATCTACCCTCCTTGTCCACTCTCATTAGTTCTAGTATATACCTTCTGACAGAAGCATAATGTTCCACAACTGTTCCTCTTAGCATCTCTAAGGCTTTCTACTTACCTCTGTACAACTTCCACTTTGATGGGTGAACAGCAAAGTTTCTCAGAATATCATCACTGAGTTGGCTAATATTGAAGTTGAGATTCTTTCTAAATGTATTCATGTATTCCTCTGCAATCCAATCAGCACTTGCTTGTTTTGTGTAAATGTCCCTGTGACATCTATGATCATTAACAATGGACTTTATGGCAACACTTCCTTCACCTGCAATTACACTAGCATACAATCTCCATGGGCATCCATCCACACACTTCACCTCTAGCAGTTTCTTGTTGCTCTTCATATTATGAATATTTCTCCCATTCAAGATTGCAACTTTTCTTACTGCCTTTTTGCACTGAATAATTGACTCAAACCTCATACCTACCTGCAACACAAGTGTTTTGTGATCACAGGCAGGATCATACAATGTTCTATTTTTTTTCTCCTTGGCCTATTCTCTGTGATTTCATCCTCTTGACTGCTGCTCGAATCAGTCATAAATGCACACTGGTATTCACTAAAATTATCCATATCAGCTTCATCAGTATGTGCTCCTTGAAGTCCACTGCTTCTAAACTTGTTGAGCCCACTCTCTGAAATATCATCATGAGGTGCAGTCTTCTTATACTTTTTTATGTTCTTTCTTGCTTCAATGTACTCATCATCTTCAGATACAATGTCTTTATCACTAAGGTCATCCTCAGAAGAGCTTTCACCTTGTGGCATGTAGTCTTCATCTTCACTTTCTTCATCTGCAGCTTCTTCATTTGCAGCTTCTTCATCTGCACCTCCTTCACAGGCACCTTCTTCACATGCACCTTCTTCATCTGGAATGTAATTATCAATGAAGTACTCAAGTTCATCATCTTCATCAACTACCTCTGATGCTGCCCATTTGCCCTTATTTTTTTGTTCACCAATCTCATCATGTACCTCTGATGCAGCACCTCTACCATCAGTGATTTTTTCACCAACCTCATCATGTACCTCTGATGCTGCACCTCTACCCTCAATGGTTTTTTCACCAACCTCATCATGTATCTCTGATGCCCTTGTACCCTCACCATTCTTTTCATCAACAACACTCTGAGCCTCCGTACACTGGAATTCATTTCCCTGATCCACATAAACCTCAATCATGGTATTATGTTTTGTAGCATGATTATACAGCTCCATCACACCTACATCATCAAGCACAACCCTCAAAGCTTCTTTACCAAACACTTGGGGAATTCTGTAATATATGTTTTTCCACGTGCTACACCTAAGTTTTTGCATGAGCTCTACCAAATCAAAGTAACCAAATCTATCCATATCGAGACTATAAACTGTTTCAAAATCACCTTCTACGTAGTCTACATTACCTTCTATCATTACAAGTTTACCACTGTGGTTAACTAATAATGACAAAGTGTCCCTGCAGAAGAAATTAACAAAAAAATAAAAATCAAATCAAAAGTTGACCCACATATCAACTCAATTCCCAAAACTTTTAAATTTGAAGAATCCCTAAAATTTCAAAAAACCCTATCTTAAACCCTAAATTTGATAATCCCTAAAATTTTTAAAGAACCCTAAATTAGAAACCCTAAATTGGATAATCCCTAATTTTTATAAAAAACCCTAAATTGGATAATCCCTAATTTTTTTAAGAAACCCTAAATTGGATAATCCCTAAAAATTTTACCCTAATTTAAGCACGATTTTGATATTCCCTAATTTAAAACATACTGCAGAGTCGCTAATTTTTTTAAGAAACCCTAATTGGAGGCATCCCTAAATTCGTCAAAAACCCTAATTTGGAGGATCCATAATTTTATCAAAAAACCCTAATTTTTTACTGCAGTGTAAGGGAAAAGCCCGACAACGAAAAATACGACTTACCTTTTGTTGTTTTTGTCCATTTTGTCCATTTTTTACGATTGAGCAGGAACTTCACAGAATCTTCGTCGAATTGATTGAGAAGATCGTCGATTCGGGCAACGGATGAACATAAATTTTCATTGAGATCGTCGATTAGGTTTGAAAGAAAAAAGTTCTTCGAAATGAGTAATAAGTCGATTTCAAATTGAATCTGATAGTTTAATCGTCGATTCAAGTTAAAGTGAGTCGGAATTTCCACGTGTATTCGAATTTTTCAAGTTAAATTGATACAACTGACACGTCTGAAAAAAAAAGCCACGTCATTTAAAATAGCCCGAAATTGGGCCCGGAGAATGAAATTGCAAACAATAATAAAAGTGGTGTATATTTTTGCCAAGTTTAAAAGAGGATCATAAAAATGCAAATTTCGAAAAGGTCAAGGTTTTTTAAGCAATTAGGTCAATCCAAAAATAATTAGGTCTGAATTATCATAAATATGGTGATTTATTTATGATCATTTTAAATGTATTAATTTTATTTTAATATCATCTATATAAATATATAAAGTCATCTTATTTACTAAAATTAGTAGCAAGAAAAGTCAAAAGACAATTAATGCATTCTATTTTTGCAATGTTTTTTCAAATGTTTTATTTTTTATTTATAAAAAATCTGCCACATTTAATGCTAACATAAATTATGGGATTTGTTATATTTGAATTTTAAATTTCAAAAAATCCTACCTAAATGTATTTTAAAATTTTTTGGGAAAGATTTACATTCTGAAGATTGGAATGAAACATTTCTATTTTATAAAACGGTTGAATTGTTGTACTAATAAATACGACACTTTACCGTAAAATATATAGCTTCTTTATTTTTATGTTATCCACATTTTTCGGCAAATGAGCAACTATTCTTCCATGGACGGTTTTCTATACCACAAGTCTTACTTTGGACCTAATATAATGAAGCAATATCATATACTAACTTTTTGAGAAACTGAAAATTGAGCACATCCTTAGCCAAGTTATGATTTTTGTTTTGTTAGACTCAACCCAAAAGCCAAGTCATGCACGCCCTTAATTTCCATTTCGCATGTATCAGCATAGATCTTCTTGAACTACAACTTGGGCGGAGTGTGAGAACCTCCCTAGGTAAGCTTATTCAGAAAACTATTCAGTGACAGTGAGGAAATACCAACACAGAGAGAGATTGGGGGAGGGTGTGATAGCAAATCTATCTAAATGTTGTTGTTTAAACCATAGTTTTTATATCCGGCCCGGTAATCGGGTCACCGGTTCAACCGTCGGGTCACCGGATCAATTGTTGAACTGAATAATTAACTTTAAAAAATTTTAAAATTATATATAGATTATTTTTGTCATATAAATATACATAAAAATAACAAAATAAAATGTTTTCTGAAGGGTTAATTGTAAAAAAAAACCCCAACTTTTTGTTTAATGACAAATGAAACTCAACTTTTTCAATTTTGCAACAGAATACAAACCTTTATTAATTATTGCAATTTTATCTCAAAAATAAATTCCGACCAAGGTCAGCTGACATGGCGATTGGAAAATTGACGTGGCACTCAAAATTTAATAATTTATGCCATGCAGACACATCAAATTTTGATTACTTTTGATTATGCTCAGACCCATCAGTTTTGATTACACCACTCAAATTCTTCCAATTAACCAAATAGCGCTCAAGGAGACAAAAGGGGATTTGTATTTCGCAAGCAAGCAAACAAGATCCATGGTGGAAATAAGAGAAAGCAGCATCGGCAATTCACCACCAAGAAAGAGGATAAGAGAAGAACGTTGACTTGCCGAGCACCACGAGAGTCAAGGGATGGAGACCACGACGCCTCTCTCGGAATCATTCAGTATTTGCAGAGCGCGCTTTTCAAAGCCGTCTCCGCCGCCGGTCGTCCGCCGTAAATCGCCGATCGACGCCTCCACCAAGCTCGACACCGTCAATTCTTGCCTTCTCGGCCTCGAGGCGAAGTTGGATTCCAGCCCCACCTACCCGCAGGCCATAGCCGTAAAGGTCACCTCCGCCGGAATTTCGAATAAGAATACTGTGCCTTACATCTGGAATTTTAGGAGTGCCACGAGCAAAAAAACAAGAAAATAAAAAATAAAAATCGTCGCTGCTGTTATTTTTTTTTTTTTTTTTGAGAGTGCTGCGCTAAATGGAGAAGAAGGAAGAACTAAAGAATAATATGTACAAACAAGGGTTGACTCAAGTGGGCTGCTTGATGCCGCTTAAACAAGGTCTCGGGTTCGAGTTCTTGTGGATGCAGAAAACCCTTGTTGGGAGACTCAACCACCACTACTAGGTGTGCGACCCGAGTTGACCAACGAATTAGTTGGGACATAGCTCCGAATACCGTGGCTGGCTACCATAAAAGAAAAAAAAAAAGAATAGATCCTTAAATTTGATGTGTGACATGGGGGTGTGTAATGTGGAGGTACATGTGTCTCATGACGTGACAAAGACTATTAAATATTGCGCCACATCAATTTTTCGATCGGCCATGTAAGCGGGTCTTGGCCGAAATTCAATTTTAAGACAAAATTGCAATACTTAATAATAGTTTGTATTTTGTTGTAAAATTAAAAAAGTTGAGTTTTATATGCAATTAAACAAAATGTTGAGGTTTTTTTGGCAATTAACCCTTTTATGAATAAAATTTGTATATTAAAGTGTTAATAATATGTATTTCATGATGATATTTATCACATAAACATATATACATAGTTTTATTTTAAAAATAAATAAATAAATAAATAAATAAAATGTAAAAATATATATATAGTTCGGGTCAACTGGGTTGACCTAGTGGGTCAATGCACTGGGTTGGCCGGGTTTTGACCGGGTTTGATCGGGTCCTTTGTTGCCCGGTCCAAATAACACACCCGGACCGGGTCTGGCTCCGGGTCAGCCGGGTCTCGGGTCGACCCGCCGGGCCGGTCCGCGTAAAAATACTATGGTTTAAACATTTATTACAAAAAATTTTGACCAAATAGATAATACCTTTGACATACTATATAATATATATAGACTATTTGATAAAACTAAAAGATACACAAATTAATGTTTTCAATCTCCCTATATATAATTTCTGAATATGTTGAGCCTAAGTGGCATGCGCGCATGCTTCGGGATACTAGGTGTCAAAAATTCATGCTTCATTATTTTGTTTGGACAAATTTTAATGTAATTCCAATCCAAAAATAATTAGGTCCGGATTACCATAAATATGTTGATTTATTTATGATCATTTTAAATGTATTAATTTTATTTTAATATCATCTATATAAATATATAAAGTCATCCTATTTACTAAAATTAGTAGCAAGAAAAGTCAAAGGGCAATTAATGCATTCTATTTTTGCAATGTTTTTCAAATGTTTTATTTTTTATTTATAAAAAATCTGGCACATTTAATGCTACCATAAATTATGGGATTTGTTATATTTGAATTTTAAATTTAAAAAAATCATACCTAAATGTATTTTAAAATTTTTAGGGAAAGATTTATATCCTGATGATTGGAAGGAAACATTTCTATTTTATAAAACGGTTGAATAGTTGTACTAATAAATACGACACATTACCGTAAAATATGTAAGCTTCGTTATTTTTACGTTACCCACATTTTTGGCAGATGAGCAACTATTCTTCCATAGACGGTTTTCAATACCACAAGTCTTACTTTGGACCTAATATAGTGAAGCAATATCATATACTAACTTTTTGAGAAACTGAAAATTGAGCACATCCTTAGCCAAGTTAGCATTTTTGTTTTGCTAGACTCAACCAGAAAGCCAAGTCATGCACGCCCTTAGTATGTGGAATTCTTTTTCCTGTTAGAGGTGTTTAGTTGATGTTAAAGACTGACTGATGTACTATGTGCCTCAAACATCTTGCTACCATTTCTAGCTTGAATTTTTGATTGATTTTAGAAATAAGATTTTCATTGGGAAAGGTAACAAAATTCCTGAGGAGAACAATTTTTTTATTTTTAATTTAGTTACATAATTTATATTAATACATTAGTAAATATTATTAACGTACATTTAATATTTTTATTACATAAAATAAAATAAGAAGAAGACTACTTCTATAACTTTTATAAATATTATAACAAGTCTAAGTAAAATTGTTATTTTTCCTTATATGAAAGAATCAATATATATACTATAATAAATTTAAATTAGTATAAATGTGTTAGCAAGATAATATGTTAATTAATTTATCTATTACCCTAACCGGCTCACGTTTAACACTTCGGCTAAGAAAATAACTCTGATTGAAAGAGGTGGAGAATAGATGATCCAACTGTACTTTTTTCTTTTGTATTCAACCATATATTATTGATGCATTTAACATTTCTATCTCGTGCATCTCACGGGCTATGTACTAGTTTACTATTGTTGTGTACAAATTATTATTTTTACCGAGTACCGAATCGAAAGATTCGTTTCCCGGGTCGATCTCACGAGGAAGGTTGTTCGGAATTTAACTTTGATGTTGATAACACATAAAAGAAAATAAAATTCTAAACATACTAATCAGATAAGGGGATTGAATAATTATCAACTAAGAAATAATAAAAAGCAATAATCTATCTAAAAATATACACGAAATAAAGATGGGGAAGCTAGGGAATCGGGGACAATTAATTCAAGTTCTATTCGCACACCGAGACATTAATTACTCTGTTCTAGATTGACGCTCTCGCTTAATCATCTAGCGGTTCGCTCCCAATAACTCTTCGTAACAAGGGCCTGAACATAGACGAGCAAGTTCGAGCATACAATACCGGTCAATAATCCAATCCCAATAACTTTTCGTAACAAGGGAGAAGACACCGACAAGCATGTATTTCAACCGAAAACTCGTAGATTATTCGGTTACGAAATCATCTACCTCATGCGAGCCTAGGTCTACGACTTCTTCCCCTTTCGGTTCAAAAAGTCGCTAATTTAACTAAAATGTGATTAATCAACTAATCATATAGAATTGACAAACTCTAACTCGACTAATCAACATCCAATCGTTACCAATTGCAAGATCGAAGTGTCACTCTTCGATTATATCAATTAATCAAGCAAGATTACATAATTCTGATATAAATCAACCCACACAAGAACGAATAATTCAAGCCCGAGAGATGCACGTTAAACATGATCAATCACCTATCCCTAGCAATAGAAATTAGCTACGTACCATGAATTCAACAAAATCAAGTATTTCACCCCAATTAATCATTCTCATGAATTAAAGAAGATGAAAAATACTTACAATCAATCCAAGAGTAGAATCCAAATTACAAGCTTTAATTCCTAAATAGTAAGAAAAAGAGAAACAAAAATGGAAGAAAAATATTAAGGGAAGAAGAAGGAACGAACGAAGAAGAAGAAGAAGAGAAAAAGAGAGGAGCGTGTTTTCTCGGGACCTAGGTTTTCACCCGGTCGAGAGATGTCCCAAATTCTGATTGTGATCCCATATTTATATGAGCCGTAGGTCACGACGCGAGAAAAATCTGGCCGGGCGAAAGAGTGCATGTGCCGCGGCGTGAAGGAGTGTCGCGGCGCTACAGTGTAGCGCGGCGCGACAGTGTAGCGCGGCGCGACGGGTGAAGGTGCCGCGGCGCGAGGAGCGAAAAGCTGAGGTCTCTGTCGGCCTCGTGGCAGCAGCGCGGCGCGACGTGCGCGTGAGGCTCGTTCTTGCCACGACGCGAGGGTCTTTGCTGGCAGCGCCTGCTGCTAGCTTTGGTGCACGTTTTCACGTCACGGGCCCGTTTGAACTCATTTAGCCTCAAAATTTGATTCCGCTTTCTTCTGTGAAGCGCCAACAAACTCTTCAATCTACTTATGCTTGCCCGACCGAGTTATGCCCAAAATTCGGTCTCCCCAAAGCTTTCGACCTACACACAAAAAACGAAAAAAAATCGGAAAAATACACGAAAAACACAAAGAAAACCACAATAGCGCGAAACTCACAACAAACACTAAAACGAGCTAAAAATCGATGAAAAGACCTAACATGGGGAAAAAAGAAAGAAAAAGTGACAACGGAAAATGCAACAAAAATAGAACAAACAACTATTATAACCATTGAATTGTAAATGTATTTTAAAAGTTAATAATTTTTGTATTACCTATCGATTTTACATATATAATATATCAATTTAATCATCTTTTCATGAGTTTTTATTTGACACCATATTTATATATACAAAATAAATAAATTATATTTATATTTATAATAATAAAAAAAATTTATTAAATTAATTAGAAAAATAAAATTATTTCTCAATTAATATATTTATGTTTAGTGTAGTTATATGTTATAAGTTAGAAAAAATATTATAATATAACACATGCAAGCCGTAGAAGTAACAAGTGTCATACTAAACTATATAATAATATATATTTTTATAAAAAAAAATATTTAACTGTTCAACCACTTTTTCTCATTAATTTCAAATTTTAAGAAAAATAAATTTTTAACAAGCAACCGTGTAATACACGGGTGTTGTATTAGTTGGTTTTATATTTCAAAACGTTCATTAGATTTTTACCTCAAACTAAGCACTTCATTTCTGTGATCGAAAGACAGTGCTCTAAATTAAATTACATTTGAAAACATGCATTGAGTTTAACTTAATTCAAAACATTGCATTTCATTTCTGTTACCGAAAGATGTGCTTGTCAAATTAAATTACATTTGAAAACATGCAGTGTTTCACTTAAATCAAAACATTTGATTTCAGTTTCAATTTACATTTAATATCTTATATCTATTACTATAAAAAAAAGGGGAGGGAGGTATTTACTTTAAATAGCATGTAAATTGCCGCTTAAATTTTCATTAATTACCATTAACGGTAATATTTTCAAAAACAGGTTAACTCTGAAAACCAGCTTGATTAGCAGTTCTAGAGGCAGAAAACTAGGGTCAGTTGGCTTTACCATGAACAAAATACAAAGAATTTTGATGCCCAATCTGCTCAGAGAAGGAAAGATAACAGTATAACGAAAATCCTCAGGGAGGCTTTGTGGTATTTTTTATAAAAAACATTTCCAATATCCTTGTTAAAAGATTGAAACAATGGCTTCCTT